ACGCCGTGAAAGTTCTGCTAGTAGAAACACTAACCCCAAAAGTCTTAGAAATTCTAGTTGCGAACTTTGAAACATATGCTGGCTATGATGTACGTCAATGCTAAGGAGTTTGAGGTTAGAAACAAAGATGGGGTCTCTTTCCATGTTCACCTGGAGAAAAAAACATGTACATGTTTCGAGTTCCAAATGCTTCAGCTACCTTGTTCCCATGCTGTCGCAACTGCCTTGAGTTCAAAGGTACGTGTCGACTCTTTGGTTGCAAAGGTCTACACAACTGATTACTAGAGGCAGGCATATGCCAACACAATCAACCCCACAACGGAGCTGGATGGTGCACCTGAGCTAGCCGCTGCAATATCCAGCCTTCATCTTTACCCGCCATCTACAAGGCGACCACCTGATAGGCCAAGAAAAAAACGTTTTCTTTCCCGTGGAAAGACTCTTGTAAGCTTACATTGATCACCCACCTAATTTGGTAATAACCCAAGTAAATATGTTAACTATTTTCTCATTGTTCAATACTAGGTGAGAAGCATGAGGAGGCGGCCTATGTGCAGCAGGTGCAAGAGGTTGGGACACAACCAAACAACCTGTAAATGCCAATAGGATAAGACTATGTTAAGAAGAGGGACGTATGTAGTTGATGATATGTCGACGTATTGATGCTGTACCTGGGTCAGCTAACTATCCTTGTGAAATAATGTGTGATAATATGATAACATCCCAGATGAGACCTTTTTCCAACTTTGTCTATAAATAATGTAGCCCCTCTTCATAAATAATATGTTTAATTATTGAAGTTATCAGCTAATATGGTTATGAAATGCTAAGCCGGCTACGCGTAAAGTTTTCAGTTATTAAATTCGTTTGATGGAATTATTTTCCTACAACCCATACTGTAAAACACTTATGGGATATGGTAGTCTCATAGTCAAATATGGTCTGAAATGCTAATGGGTTTTTGTTAATCATAACAAGCCCAAACTTATTACATATTAGGATAAACATAATTGACATGTTAGAAAAAAACTTATCACACATTCCCATCTGATAACGATCAACTAGTTGATTGTCATATATTCTAATAATTGGCCAGCTAAGTTTCAGTAAGTCTGAAACACTTCATCATGACAGAAAATACAGCAGTTGAAATGATCCATATCCAACTTAATAGACACATCATACACACTCATCAGATAATCATACAAGTACGGCAGAGACAAAGATCAACGACAAAGAACTAGCAAGTCTAAAAAAGTAAATTAAACAACAAGGTTTCTCGTGCATACATTATGGAGAGTCTACAACGGATCATAGTGCGCTTCAAACATCATAACTGCTAGCTTCTTAGTCACTGCTGGCAAAACGTCGGCTGTGATAGAACTACAAACTTCAAAACCTCCAATTGCATGAGCATGTAAAAGTAGCACAATGGTGACACCTGAGTCAGCATGATTTCCATTCTGCGGGATGTTTTTAGGCCTCTCAACACTAAAAGATTTAAGCTCCTTTGGTAGATGGACTAGCCCAACCTCCTTAAGAAAATATGGGAACAATTGTGCTATAGGGTTCACCTCTTTTGAAATTAAACTGTCATTGTGTAGTGCCACATCAGAATCCAAGATATAGACTGTGGATACCACGCAGTCAACACATACACCTATCCAATGATTCTTGTCCAAGTTGAACGGAAAGTAAATATGGTCAGCATCCACATTGCTGACATTGTCCTCACCGAAGTAATTAAGAAGCTGCTTGGGGAAATTGTGGCCTTCTTTATTTTCAAGTTTGGAAAACTTGGAGAAGTTCTTAAGAAGCAACAAAACAAATTTTGTGTCAAAAAAGACACTCTCCTTTAAAACTTGGGGACATTGCTTCCCGAGCAGCTGATTAACTTATCGAATTAGTAAGTCAACAACCTGTAATATACAAGACCAACATAGGATCAAGCCATGTATAAGTCGGTCAAACTAATATGCATTCACAATCCTTATGTACCTTTAGGGGTAGGCATTTGTATCTACCAGCTATATCAGCATAGTCTTTGCCGGTTACAGAAACGCCTCCAAGATTGAGAATCCTGCAACAGTCACCAATATCTTAACTAATCAAGAAATAGATAATCGGCTAATCATTACTAATCATGTACTTTTGATATATTAGCCAGTCACAACTTCTATTATCCAACATATATAAAAAAAAATGTAACTAGTATTTGTCAGATACTAGAATTGAGTCAGCTTAGCCGGTTTCTACTATCAACTACAAGAAATATGTTGTAAAATCATATGAGCTTACTGCATTCCCTTCAACTTTTCACTCAACTTGCCAAATTTCTCCAAGTAATCATCACCATTCCCCTCTACTAGGCCAATAAAATTGTCTTCTCCAACCCGATGGAGCAGACGCTTGTCACATTGGTAATCTCCCACAAGATTAGGAGGGATTATTTTCTGTCTCTTGCTCTTATGGCAAAGAACACCACCTAAAGCTTCCTCAGCAGCTTCTCCAGATATCCAATAATACCCTCTAAAACTTCTGCTTTCATCTTTATTATTTGAACCTCCCCCAATTTTGAAAGAATATCATTAATCTTCTCCTCACCAGTTAATCTCAACTCTCATTTTAGAATTAACCAGCTCAACAATGTGATTAAGACTCTCCTCGCTCAAAGACAACCCTTCCCCCAAACCAGATTTGTGTAACACCCAATTTCTTTTGTTTGGCTTTTGCATTATTTTCCTTAGCTTCTTTAATCATACGAACAACATCAGCCTTTGTAACTCCTCCTCCAAACTCACTACACCAAAAGTTATGCTCTTCATTGATTAGTTTTAATAGGTTGGACACCTTAACATCCTCTTCTTCATCAGACCACTCAAATTCTTTCTCATCTAACTCTGTTTCACCATCATCTGCTATTATACAATCAGCTTCTGCCTACATGAAATTAGCAATAAAAAAAGAAACCAATATCAGAATTAATCGGATACACTAAATGAAAACCGCCATAAAAACTATAATAGAAAACTGTAGTTAAGTCCTGCTAATTTTCCATTTGACTTTCTTACCTTCTCCTCCTCGTGAATGTCTCTAGCATGTGAAGGGCTAAGACTGATCTTCTTTTCTCGAGGGCTTTCATTTTCCTCTTCTCTTCCAAACTCAGATGAAGATGTCGAATTCACCTGAATAACCTCAAGCAATGCAGGCACAGCTTCAACCAAAACAAGTTGTGTGACCATGGACGAATCCTTTGATAGCAATTGTGTTTTGAGAAAGAGTAATCTCATTCCGGTCTTTAATACTGGTTATGAGCATGTCAAAAGCTTTTCTTCCC